GTTGTTGACTTCACTCGGCTTTATTCTGTTTCGCGTGCGCTTTATTTCTTGCCCCCCCCCCCACCTCTTTACGTTTTTTTGGGGAAAACTGAAGATAAGTTGGACAAAATTCCGGAAAAATGGTAGGAGGTTGGGGAAATTTAGAGTATTTAGGATTTATAGTTGGCAGGAGGGTTATACCAGACGGGGAAAGTTCGAAGAAGGGCTTGTATCTCACGGTTTTTTTTTTCGAGGGTTCCAGCGCGGGTGCGTGTAGCCGTGCGTTTTCGCGAAGAACTGATGCGATATTCGTTTTCGATGGGTAAAGCCACCTTAAGGGACTAGTTCAGCCCTAAGAGGCGAGTGCCGAGAAAAAAAAACTGAGCCCATATTTTGAAAATGAAGCACTAATGTGTAGATAGCGCTTATTTTCCTGCCTCTTGAACTAAGTTTGGCCCAACAGAAGGGTAGAGGAACAACTATTTCTTTATTTCCAGAAGCCTATCGCCAGCTCTGAAGATACGAGCCGCAATCTAACTGAGGCGCTGAACATGGTTAAAAAGCAAGACCAGCTTGAAGCGGAAGTTCATCAACACTCCGGCAATATTGAAACTACGATTGCTCAAGGCGAAGCTCTGATACGCGGAGGACATAATGCCGCTACGCAGATAAAGGCCAAGTGCGAGCAGGTATGATTTTTGGGTCTATCTTTTGCCTGTTTAGAATCTATGAAATCCAGTTTTCCATTTGCAGTTGAATAACAGTAATGTACCAGAACAGGTAATATGAGTAATGTTGTGTGTGGCATTAAATAATCTTTTTTTAACTAGGAGTTTTCTGAAGCAGGTTTTTGTTGTGTGCAGTGACGTAGTTTCTTAGATAAGGGTGTCAAAAGGAAGAGTACGCCCACTGATTTATTCTTTCCAGCTGGCAGGAGCATGGACTCATTTGGCGCATTTGGTGAAAAGACGACGTCAAGTGGTCGATTGGGGTGTGAAAGAGCAACAGTACATGTTTGATGCCGCTGAGGTTATTTTTCTCTGAACTTTTATTTCTAGAGCTAGCAATCCCTGTGGGGAATTCAGGGAGACGGTCAAGACAATCGTGATTTGCCGCATGCGCCGTCGCGCGCGGCTTTCGCGCGGTAATGGGTGCGCCAGTTCGAGTAAGGCGTTCCACGGCGACAAGAAAGTAGCCCTTTGCTTATGGTCTCTCCTCTTCAGGAGCTCTACTAACAGAGGATTGACTTTATAACGTGGTGTGCGCGGCTGCGAACAAGCATGTTGCGCGACAGGCTCGCTGGCCACGCCCACCAGCGGGGCAGATCACGATTGTCTTGTCACATACCTAGAAATTCTACGTCTTACTGACTTCGACTAGTCCTTCCATTTACAATTGAGTAGAGAAAACCTTTTCAAAGGCTCAGTTCACGCTCGGGAGCCCAGTTCGCCCGCAGAGTGCGCCAAGGCAAATCCAAGCGTGATCAGTCAACTAGAAGCGCAGCTGTCAGCTCTTAGAACGCCATTCGTTGACGGCTACTAGGCAGTATCTTATTTTACCGATATCCAGTCTCAATATATGCCTTTAAGGTTGAGTCGTGGATGAACGAGAAGCGCCATGCATTGGAATCAGATAATTATGGACAGGATGAAGATGCTGCTCAGAAACTGCTGGCAAAGCACAGAGCACTACAGAATGATATGCAGACGTACAGACAGTGAGTAATTAGCAGTTTTGGGGTGTGGGACGTTAGGCCTAATTAGCATACGTGCACACCAACTGTATAGCATTTACTGGCTAGTTGACGAGGGGTGTGGAGCGTTACATCCGAGTCGTGACGAAATAGGCTTTGTAAGCGGAGCGACGTACACCGCACGCCGCATTCGAACCAGGACCCAATCCATTTAAGGTAACAGTGGCTCTCTCACACTTTACCTTTCTCTTCCTCTCCGTATCTCTTGCTGTCTTTTTCTCTCTGTCTCTGGGTGTCGCTCTCTCCGTCTTGCTTTCTCTCTCTCGCTGCTCGCTCTCCTGTGTTTGTCAAAGCTTAGGCAAGCCTAAGAAGATTCTCGATAGTACGCGCGATGCCGCCTGCTACTCAGAAAGTTAAAGCTTCCACACCACCGTAGCGGCCTGGAAGTGTGGCGCTGCGACGTCAAATCAGTCAGGTTCTGGTGCGAATGCCGCGCGTGTGATGTCGCTTGCAACGCTGCGTCGCCGCATCGTGAATTTACTGTCTCACATCCCCTGTTGAGCATTGTAGGGAAAAACGTAGTATCGAGCTTCTTGTTAGCATTGAAAAGCTTTTTCAGATGGCTTGATAAACTCGCTGTGAAATGCAACGAATTGACCAGTTCACGCCGTCCCAACGTAGATCGTTTTGAGATTAGACAAAAGGAACTGGAAAACATGAATTTGCATCGACACTTAGCGCGTTCGTGGGTCAGTTGATATTTCGAGGAATTCGAAGTCTTTGAAGGTCCCGACAACCTACCATGTTTTCAAATTTTTAGCCGAAACAAGAACGTGCGGCGGCGCCCTGAGAGCGATTACGAGTCATCTGTATTGAGAGTATATGCCGTGAAGTTGCTGAACCTTGAACAAATGGTATAACCGAGCAACTTCAGACAGCTAATGAGTGAAGAGTATGAGAGCGATTATGAACATTCAAAGCGGTTTGCAACGAAAGGAATGTTCCGCAATGTGTTGGACTTGGGGAGGGGATTTGCGCTCTCGCCAGTTCCTGATTAAATTTATACATCTCTCTTTTGGTACGACTTGTGGAGGCTGGGTAAAGTCAAACGAGGCTGGTGCTAGCGCATAGCTTTACGGGAGTCCGCAAGTTACACTAGGCATCTGCAGGAATCAATGGAAAGCAGGCAAAGCGCCCCCACCGAGCCAAACTTCCCGTAACGAACTCGCTCACCAAAACTGTTTCCAATTTCAGGAGTTACAATCACGATTCGAAGAATTCAAACAGAGCGTGAAAACCGGCAGTGAGCGATTTGTGTCGTGTGAAGCAGCCGCCAATGCTCTGTTGAGGCGGAATCCGCCGTTTGGCCGAGATATACTCAAGAAACAGGAGAAATTGAGATCGGTAAGCTCTTAAGTTAAGCTAGCCTAGACCTTCGTATTTTACCCTGGAAATGCAGGTCTGGACTCTTCTCCTGGACTACATTGAGTCACGAGAATCGAAACTAGCTGCAGCAGAAGAGCTTCATCGTTTCAACCAGGACGTCCTTGAACATGAAGAATGGGTTGCGGACAAGAGAGCTAATATGTCCCGCGACAAAGGAAGAAATATGCAGCAGGTAACCCTTTCATTATCTATGGTATTCAACAAGACAGGACTCCCAAGGGAAAACTGGTTTCAGGCTAAATCGTTGAGCCAGAAGCATGAGACTCTTGAGAAGGAAGTAGCGGGTATGGAGCCACAACTGCAGGTTAGTTTTTTCAGGTCTTCATTTTGGTGCTAGTGCGCGTTCCATATCCCTAAGATGGAGGAGGCGTGGCTGCGCACTTCACTTGAGTGCGCAGTGAGGATACTTTCCATGGGTTATTTCCAGTTGGAACAATTGTCATCTTGTCTTGTGCCTGAAAACATCTGATTACATTCATATCAAACTGGAAAGATAGTACCAAAAGCGCGCCACTTTCAGTGATGTTCGCAGCCATGCCCACTCCATCGCCCGGGTATGTGGTGTAGCTAAGAGAGAGGGGGGGGGAGGGCGACAGTGACTGAGTTCGCTCCTCTGCGCTCTGAGACGAGGCCGGTGGAGTCACTCGCGCCGCGCCGTACATAGCCCTCCCCAACTACCGTAGCACCCGTAAGTAGTTAACCGAGTGGTTTGCTGTCTAGCTGCCTCTTTGTCTTGAGATCCCTGTGAGGGAGCATTCATACGTCGCGATGACGCACGTCGACGTGTGTCCTTGGAAGTCTGAACACTGCCTCAAGTTTTTCTTCCTACCTCTCCATTGCCTTCGTTATAAAAGTAACATCTTGCAGAAACTTCTTGCCGAGTCAGCGCGT